AGCTATGAAAAATTGTAATTTTTTTTTTTTTTAATATTCTGAGAAAACTTTTATTAGTGTTTTTAAGTAACTGTCTTCCAGAGCAAATTTAATTAAAATACAGTTTGGTTTAATCTGATACAATCTGATTTAATCTGATTATCGTTTGCATTTTATAAGAAATGCATGTATTTAAGATTTTAAAAAACACATCAATTGCTTAAATAAAATCAATAGATCATATAAATAAAAAAGATTAATTTTGATTTTTGTTTCATAGATAAGTGTAAGAAAAGTTAAAACTATTTAAAATAATTCTGTTGTAAAGTGTGCTGCATTATAAATGAGTTTTTAATAGTATGTATATTATAATACAAATTCCCCATTTTCTGATTATGTAAAAATATATAGTAAAAAATAAACCTTTTTGTATCGATGCCCAAGATATAGAATATAAAATAAAACAGGAGTTATACAGTATACTGCATATACCACCAAGCCAAAGGCTTGAAATTCAGCAGACGCAGAAATCGATGCTGTAGTGATTTCTGTATAAAGTTTATGAATAAAACATTATAGCAACAAACGCATGCACACACACACACAAACACACTCACACACATATATATATATATACATATATATATATATATGTAAATATAGATATAGTATATAGTTAGGTTTAAAGATGGTGCGTTACATCACTAAAAAGTTGTATGAATGTTTTTTTAAAAAATTATTCGATTTCCATACAATTCAGCTATAGTCCTACCCGTCAATCAGTGGAAAAATTTGCTCATATTAGTGTTGAAACTAAAAAATATAATGATCCATGGCATGATGATATAGTAAAGCACTTTACCATGTAATTATAACTATGTTTGACAATTATACTGGCATAAAAATATTACAAAAGAGTAATTGTACAATATATGTAACACTTACTGCTTTTCAATGTTATTTAAACTATTATTTTTCAAAATATTCATACAATTTTTAATTGATGTAATGTATATATATATATATATATATACATATTTTTAAATACATATATACATATTCCCATAAAACACAGCAACTGTATAGCACGCACTCACTTTAATACCGTTTGAGAATGAGCAAAAATAATGCATATAAACCATTATTTAAAACCATTTGAAATGTTTTTTTGTAAGCGCGTAGATACATTAGCAATTCACGCTCTTCACACTTGTCTTTTGTTTAAGATAACATGAATTTGCATGGCACGGCAATGAATTCTATGCACGTATATATGTATAAGTGTCATGGCATGGCAAATTTTTGGAATAGATTCATGCTATATGGGTGCTATATGAATATATATATATATAAATTACTATCCATATATACATGTAGACATAAATGAAAACTTACCGATTCTTTATCAAGGTGGACTTTTTTAAGAATGAAAGTAGCATCAGCCCATGAATTAGCATTATTCTCATTATCAGTTATTACAATATTATCAAATAATAAATTAGAAGACATTGACCACAATTCTATACCAACAGCTGCCTATAAAATAATACAATCAGATGTAGAGGCAATAATACAAAACAATGTTCTAATAAAATTAAGTAAAATTGGGAATTATAAAAATAAAAGTTAATGAAAACATAACTAAAATTTATAATAATTAAACAAAAGATAGCAAGAAAGTATATATTATATATAATGTAAAATATATGCATGTATTTATATGTGCATATATATGTGTATGTGTATGCATATTTATATATATATATATATTATATATATATAATCATGCAAATGATTATTTGAGCAGCGGTATTATTTGACATATGTGGATTTCAGATTGCTCCGCCACTCGGTGTTTGCTGAGCAAAATAAAAAGCAAACATCCCAAAACGCATTTTATATAAAAAATTAGTAATTTCTAGAGAAAATAATATTAAAAAATTGGCTATTCATGAGAAACAAGCACCTGTAGCTAAATAAATGTAATTAGAAAGTTGGTCATTTGGCTACAAACTAAACTATAGAGATGATTTGAAGTGTAAATGGTTTTGAATAAAAATATTAGTTATTCTTCCAATGATAAATTTACATGTAATATTTGTTAATACTCACTATAGGAGCCATTTTAAAAGGCTGTAAATCTTGGAAATAACCAGGATTGGCTATCATTTTAGGTGCCCATTTCCCTCTATAATTAGGATTAGTAATATATGGTGCTCGCCATTTTCCTTTATATTTCGGGTTTGATATCAATGGTGCTTTCCATAAGCCACAAACCAACAGCACCTTCACAAGCAGGATTAGGAATCAAAGGAGCTTCCCAATCACCATCCATATCAGTATCCCAATCAGCGGGTTTGACTGCATCAGGGTCTAAACATGTATGCCGATAATCAATCTTTTCATATATTTATAATACCAAAAAATATGATAAATACTGAATATTACTGATCTCGACTTTCAGATTTCAGTATTTGTAAGCTCGTACTATATATGTATATACATACATATACACACAATAAGAATTATTATTTCTTAGTTATCTTTTTCAATTGTATTCTACCGTTATTCTATTTAAATATAGACCATGCAGACTCTGTTACTTAAAATGAAACAGAACCGAACTCACCAGGAATCATTTCTTCTTCAGTATCCAACCAACCAGCAGGTTTTTCTGCAGATGGGTCAACAATTTGTGCAGGCTCATCCTCATCCCAATCATCAGGTTTATTGCTTCAGGATCAGGTATCTATTAGAAATGGAAAATATAGCTTGAATCAACTAAATTTGTTTATACATATTATATATATGTCGTGCTGTGTTAGTGTTGACAGTACATTCTTACATACTTATTTATACATACATACATACTATCAATTTAATAAAATACTTTGTTTTTGGACCTTTCTCTATCATCCCAATTTTCTGGTTTGACATCATCAGGATCAGGTATTTCTTGAGGAGGATTAACTGGTGGTGTAAAGTCTAATAACAGAGATCCTTCATTAACGACCTTACCATCTATAGTTATGGTAAATGTATTGTCTGGTCTCAAAACAAGTCGGTATAAATGAGGTAATTTATCAGAGAAGACATCATCAAAGCGTTCCCTAAAAACATAATTTATGAGACTAATATTTTTAGTAAAAAAAAATTATGATTTATCATTAACCATTGTAATCAAAACATGTTCAGCTATGACTTTAAATTAATAGTTCTTTCAAATAAAGAAGAATAATCATGATTCAAAATAGAATATATTGATAAAAAATCAAGTTAGAACTTGTCGGAAACAGGAAAATAAAAATTTGTTAATTTATAAGTTTGATCAAATCTAAATTCACATTCAAGATTAAGCATTGAATCATATTATCTGCATATATAAATTTATATGAGATTTGTATAAGTAGATATTGTAAGTACTCATTGTATGTATAGAAAAAAATTTCACAAACCTTGGTTTTTTGCAATGCTTTTCCTCAATTGATCCATTTAAAGGATTTGTATGTCTAAATATGAAATGAAATTTAGAGTCCACTCCACATTTATCAGGACCCAAAATAATACTGTATGGAGTGTTATCACGAAACTCTCTAAGATTTGAAGTACCAGGTCCAGCTGATAATAATTTAATGTATGAACCTCCACATTCTTGACCATCCTGGAATATATTATGAGTTTAATATTTGTGTGTATGTATATAAATTTAAATTTAGATAATTGAAAATTAATTTCAAATTGTCTGCACACCTGCATTGTGACTTCATATTGTACTATTAGAGGTTTGTCACTAAATACAAATGGTTTATCTAATTTTGCTGAAATGGCTGCATGTTTAGCCTTTGATTTCAAAACTAATCCCAAGTCTCCTTTCATGAGCTGTTTCTGTGGAGCTTCCACTTCCCAAACACCATCATATTTTGCTAATTCCTCATCTAAATCTCCTTCCTTCTTTGCTTCAGATCGAATCCATCGCTTATTAAAATTCTGAAGGTTATCAAAATGCTCAGCAAAAAAGAATTGCCCTGGTGCTGCAACTGGACTGTTGTATGGTATTCTTCTATACCTACTTCAGAAACCTGAATTTAATCAAATAAAAATATGTAATGTTATATATGATAGTGAATAAACTAAATTATTAACTAATAAATGTATGTGTGTATCTGAATTAGAATACACTGAACGGAAAGACAGATCTTTCTGACAACTTTTTATATAACTTGAACTAAACTATAGAAAATAAATGCATTCAAAACCATTTTAAACAACAATGTATTTATATATTTATTTTAATAAACAGTAAGTAATATTTTATGTTACAAGCTATAAACTTTGATAAAACAAAATAAATCATCAAAAGTATTTATTTCAATTTTGTCAGTAATTATATTATGATTACTGTAAATCTAAATAAAATTTACAATTTAAATTAGGACTCATCTTCATCAAAATTGATTGTTGATGAGAATGTGCAATGTATTCCAGAAGACTTTACATTGATATTAGTACTATTGACACCTTTTTTGGATTATACTTTCTATTTTTTAGTTACTCAACATTTTTAATTTAAAAACTGTTTTACATTTGATAAAATTTTAATAAAGTGACCAGAAGATATTTCAAACCAACTTACAACTAATAATAGTATCTGAAATATATTATCACAATGTTAAAAACGCTTAATAAGGATATAAATATATTTTGATATGTTTAAAAATTGCAAAGCACTTGGATAAAAAAAAAAACTATATGATCTGTGCTTGTTTATTATTGATTTTGTAACAGAAAAACATCTGAAGATTTTGTGCGTTTTATTGCACTTTGGATACTTATGCGATTTTATTACTTTATTTCCAACTATAGTTACTACAACCTCAGTCATGTACTTAGACTATGATTTTCACAAACCAGTAATATGTATTAAAACTGTAGTTCATGTTCTCTTTTTATATAAAATTAAATTTATATAGATATTATACAAAAATTTAAACCTACAACACTGATGAGAAAACTGAAGGATCATTATTCTAGCATATTTTAATAAAGATAAGGACGAGAAGAGTAATATTCACATTTATTTAATTATTAAATTTACATAAACAACTTAAATTATTGTAGGATACTAAGAATGAATATATACTTTACCACTTTTAGAAGTATTAATTTAATTAGAAGTGCTATGATGTGTCATTTTATGACAAAATCAATACTAAAGAAAGACATGTAATGTACAAAACTGATATTTTAAAAAAGTATATTGTATACTACAATTTCAAGGAGTCATACCTCAGCATTCCCATTTGACTCTTCTTCATCACATCTTATTGACCCTAGCACTAGTAAGGCACTTACGATCAGGGGCCACCGCTTCATCTAAAATAACATTTTTATATGCAGCTATTACACAAAACAAGCTCATGCTACAGAGTCGAGGTTACTCCGACAAAAAATAAATAACAGAAGAACGTATATTGATGTAATTTCCAATATGAATATTGTACAATTAATAATATTAAGCCGAACATATTAGTTTCAATTAATTAAGGAATTAAATTAATTCACAATACCTTCAACGCACTCGATCAAACCTCTATTATCAACTAACAGTGGTTATTACATATGATGGGTTGGCACATTCGTTTAACTTCCTAATACAATAAGTATTTAATTTGTTTTATTCAAGTGTACACCATCCTTAGCGCAAGCACATAGAAAAATATATGTACAAAAAGATTAGACATTCAATACATTTTTAATAGTTCTCAACAGTTCGAATTGCCTTCTTCATGCTTATTTATCTCTGGGTAAGATGTCGTCGTAAAACTCAAATTCAAATATCAAGCAAAATGCTCTTCTTTTATCTATGATTGAATGTTTTCAACTTTTTCATTATATTATCAATTTGTCAATTTTTTTGTTCAAAAATGCTTAGATATTAACATGTTTAGAGGTGTATTTATAGTTTTGATCATAGTTAAGTAAACTATGATCTATCTGTATATATAATATAAATCTATATATAAAAACTTTTGATTATATTGTTAATTAATTTCAATTGATTAAATATTAGCTTGGTAATAAACAGACATAAAAGCTTAGTTTCTTTTCTTGGGCTTAGTTTTAAAACTATTTCAGTATCATGTTTATTTATCTATAAATTTGACTCTTTATCTATGGTTTTTATACTCTATCCATAGATAAGTAAACATAAAGACATCTATGAGTTTGATAAAATATATGCGACGTGTTTTTCCGCCGCATATTTTCACCGATACATACGTGCTTATTTCGTAAAGCACGAAGTGAGCGGTGATCACGGGATGTTGGCAATTGTGTCTAGAAGCTTCATCATCGAAAATCGTCACCATTTTGTTTTGTGGGTTTGGTTTGTAGTGTTCTAGTGCGTTTCGTAATTTTATAAAACAAGTAAAATGAGTTACGGTCGACCACCACCCCGTATCGACGGGATGGTATCCTTGAAGGTGGATAATCTTACGTACAGAACTACACCAGAAGATTTGCGACGAGTGTTCGAGCGATGTGGGGAAGTTGGAGACATTTACATTCCGAGGGATCGATTTTCAAGAGAAAGTCGAGGATTTGCTTTCGTGAGGTAAATGTTACTCTGTGTAATGAATAATTCCAAACTCGTATTTACCATTCAATATCGGAATTGTTTTGATTATTTTTGACACGTTTTGGCTTCTGTTTCTTAGATTCTATGATAAGCGCGATGCCGAAGATGCGCTTGATGCAATGGATGGGCGAATGTTAGACGGCAGGGAGTTAAGAGTTCAAATGGCAAGATACGGAAGACCAACCAGCCCTCAAAGGCGAGGTGGTAGAGGAAGACGCAGGCAAGTAATTTAAAATTGATGATACCAAGTGGCTTGCTGAATAAATTTCATTCTGTTACAAATCACGTTTGATGCCATTTGATTTATTTATGTATATTCAATCCAGATCAAGATCGCGTTCGCGTAGGCGTTCACGTTCCCGCTCAAGATCCCGTCGCCGCAGCTATTCACGCAGCAAGTCTCGATCAAGGTCAAGATCAGATTCGAAGAGTAGCCGTGGAAAGCCAAGCAGGAGCCGCTCTCGTTCTCGTTCAAGAAGCAGGGACTAAAGGTTAATAGTCATATGTTATGATATAATTTTTGTTTTTGTTTTCTGTAAGATAAATATTTGAGGTTTAACATAACAATGAGCTGTTGAATATGATGTAGCTATTTCAGTATCAATTGATGCCAATTTATCATTCTGTAATAATTTAAGATGGGTAATATTTCTTGTAACTTTCTGAATACTTATAAGCCTTTGTTTAAACATTCATTTTGAAAAATAAATGAAAGTGAATGTTATTGCCATCAACATTTATGCAGGTTACTCATTAGTTATTTGTTTATTAATATCATTACCTCTATGGGAAGAAGTAGGAATTATGAAAAGAACATGTATTTTGTAATTTAAAAATACATATTTGAAATATCAGTTGTCTTATAACAGATTTTAGACAATTTGTTGAAATGCTCATTAAGATTTATGTATTATATATTTTATTTCTTTCAGATGTAAAGTCCTGAAGGGATGGTAGGCATATTTTATCTGATAGAACTTCAATGCTTTGGCAAAAAATTAGCCATTGAAGCGGTGTTGAGATTGACTTATTGTGCGTGTTACTGTATCGTGGCTGTCATAAGCAAGGTACACTCGCACATTACATATACATATATAAATATATATCTATATTTGTATATGTATAATATGTTTTATCTTACTCATCCCTATGACCCTAATATTTAAATAAGTAATAGAAATAAGTTGTTTGATTTGTCACATTGAAATTTTTATGATTATGGTATATTAAAATATATTTCATTGGTAATAGTATCTTGATTTTCAAATTGTACTTTAAGATATTTTTCATATGTGCAAAATATGTTTAAGATAATTAAGTTTTAAGTGATTAAAAACTAAAAGTTAATTACTTTTTCTAATATGTGGAAATTGATTTTTTTTTGTAAGTATCGACCTTTAATAATTAACTAGAATGACTTTATTATGAAATAGCTGTTATATTGTAATCCATAAATTAATGTAATCAATTTTAAATATATAATCTTATAAATATAATTTGTTAAATTGTATGTAATTATGGGTTAAATTTGTATGAAAACTACCACAATGTGTTACGAGAACAATTATTTTTCTTTGAGTTACGAAATAACGTCTTTTTTCACTTCATGCACAGAATGCTGGTGCAGTTAAAAGTAGCAGCTCTAACAGCAGTAGAGAGATAATGGGGGTTTACTTGGTAGCGGTTGGGTGTGTTAGCTGATTAGTTGGTGCTATGGTGTTTGGTAGCCGAAAGCCTGACAGAAATCAAATTAAAATGGCCTTTGTTCCGTGCGTACATGCTGCATATTAGCTGTGCCAGCCACTTCGTCATTCCTGTTCTCTGGTATCTAAAACAGTACAAAACATTTTGTTTTTGACAATGCATTTAACGTTTCACTTTTTTAATTTTTTTATATAAATTCATTTTTTTTGGATTCAACATAATTTCTATAAATTCTTTTTTTTGATTCAACATAAATTTGAAATATTTTATAAATAATTGACCTTTACCCATTGCGCAGGCTGCTGTGGTGCAGTCTATCCAGAGAAAACAGGTCTCATACTTAAAGCAGTTGGCAGCTCAATTTTTTTTGAATTTACTATGTTCTGTAGAAGTTTTTTAATTTACGGTTAGCATATTTGGGATTTTCTGAAAATTTGTTTGCGTGCCATGCATAAATTTTAACTTCTTTTGACTTCGACCTTTTAGATTATTTTAACTGATGAGTGCATCTCTTGAAAGATGAAAGTAATGAGGTGGGAATCTATATTGAATTAACTTATTACAATCATATCAAGTTTGTTTTCATGTTCAATTTCATTGGTTAATTTGTACAAATTTTTAGCATTTCAAAACATGGTAAGTATTTTCAAAGTACTTGGAGTTTATTTCTGCATAATAAAGGTGTTTTAAAAAAAGAATCAACATTGTTTTAATTATAAATTGAAGTGAACATTTTTTACATTGTTCTTATTGTGTTGCTTTTATGCATGTAAATTCTAATATTAGACTTTTGAATTCTGATTAACTTCTCTTAAAATCTTGCAGTTTTGTTGATCAGAAAAGAAATGTTGGTTAAAAATAATAGGATTATCATTGAACTTATATGCAAGTTATTGATATTTGTAACTTTTATTTTCATAGTTTTATCAAGATTCCATTAATTTCCAGCATTGAAATGTTGTTCTAAGCTTTAGCAAGAAATTTTTTTCAATATCAAATCAATATTCTTTTATGTATGATTCAATTTATTTCTTTTAACATCAGATGAAGAATCCGATTTTCACCAGAAAATCGGATTACTAATTTTTTTTCTTCACGTTTGTCATTCTGAGTCACTCCAGACCAAAGTTGGTAAAATTGGGTAGAAGTTTGCGTGTTTGTCAAATAGTCACATAGTTTGTCAACGGTTGCACGGACTTAATTAAATATTTTTTGGAACATAATATAATGTATTTTTAAGATAGTGTATTATATAAGTATATTTTTCGACAAAAATTCTTGGCGGTGATAACTATATTGATGATTTGTGTGAATGATATACTTTTTCGAGGACATTGTTTGTTTGCTATAAGTGCGGATTCAGAATTTCAGACCCTTCAATGTGACAAATGAAATGATGCATGGCCTTGGATCTAAATACAAAGATAAGTCTAGATTCTAATGATAGATTTAATAGATTTTAATTTTAGTGGCATATTTACCATTTTCCACTCGCAAATTCCGAGGTTTATATGAATTTTGCCGCCGAAGCATAAGTTTAGGACATGATGTAATTATGTGTAAAAACTGTATGTTTTTACAAGCTGAGAACATCATACCATCCATATATGATATATCATAATAATTGCAATTGTTCCTATATTTGTTTTTTTAATAATCGCTATTAGTTATATTAATGCGTATCCATTACGAAATATATATATTTCGTAATGGATAAATTCACATGGTTCATTAATATATTAATGAACCATGTGAAGACATTAGTATAGCAATTGGTACCGATACTATCGATTAATTTAACCATTTTAATTGCGGTATAATTTATAATTAGTTGTTAACTGTCATTATATTTAATCTGGTTATTTGTTTATTTGGAATTTTGTGTTGTCACGTTTTTTAATTACGTAATGAATTCTTATTAATTATTCGTAAGTAATTACTTAAGTATAAAGCTCGCCAAATTGCCTTCGTAAATCGAATTGTGTATGTCGGTATGATTATTAACTTCCCGTAGGGCAAGTTATAGTAATCGCAAAAAAATCGAAAATGAAAATTTTTGCATTTCTCGACGTTTCAAAGGTTTCTGAATATTTTGGCATACCTTAGAAAAAATGGATGTATGTGTGTGTGTGTGTGTGGTGTGTGCGTGTGTGTATGTATGTGCGGATACAAATTTTCGTCGACGATTTCGGGAACACCGATCAACTGATTTGAATTTTTCAAAAAACATCGATTTGTATTGATAAGGAGACGTGCTGATTAGTTTTTGGCGAAGTCAGGTCTAGCCGTTCCGAAGATACGGGGCAAAAAGTGCCGAAAACGGTAACTCAGTTTTTAAGAGAACGGAACGTCCGATTTTAATAATTCAAAAAACATTTTACTTGTATTGATAAGGTGAAGAATTGATCAAATTTTCATAAAGGCAGGTCCAGCGGTTTCGGAGATCTAATGAAAAAAGTATAAAAAAATGCCATTTGGCGGTCAAAAATGATCATTAGACATATGCACATTAAATTATCAGATATTTTATAGAGATTTTAACAATAAGTATAATTTTGGTTCACATTCCTATGGGTTCCGTACCAATGTTTACGCGTTAGACGTCGACGCGGCGCTTACGCAGTTTGATATTTCGTCTGTATGCAGTTAAAGCAGTACGATTGCTTTGAAAAAAAGTTTCGATCTTTCAAAATATGTCAAAATAAAGAAAACATTTTTTAAAAAAAAAAATTTTTTTTTTCAAAAAAAAGTAATTTTTTGTCAAAAATCTTATTTTTTCGAAGTAAATTTTTTTCAGAAATGTTAATCGTTTTTAAAAAAAATAATAATTTTTCGTACGGGAAGTTCCAGCAATTTGCCTTAAGGCACGATGCCTTAATTGCCTTAAGACAGAATTCCACTTACAGCTAGTTATAATAATCATCAATCAAAAACTATAGTTTTTTTATTATATTATTGTTGATAATAGTTTTGAAATGATGAAATACTTTCTTTATGCAGCTTTATGCTCTTTTTTAACTTCCCGTAGGGCAAGTTATAGTAATCGCAAAAAAATCGAAAATGAAATTTTTTATATATCTTTACGTTTCAAAGGTTTCTGAACATTTTGACATACCTTAGAAAAAATAGACGTATGTGTGTGTGTTTGGATACAAATTTTCGTCGACGATTTTGGGAACACGGATGAAGCGATTTGAATAATTCATAAACATTCGATTCGTATTGATAGGGAGACGTGCTGATTAGTTTTTGGTGAAGGCAGGTCTAGCCGTTCCGAAGATATGAGGCAAAAAGTGCCAAAAACGGTATCTCAGTTTTTAAGAGAACGAAACGAAGCGTCCGATTTGAATAATTCGCAAAGCATTTTACAAGATGAAGAACTGATCAAATTTTCATGAAGGTAGGCTTAGCGGTTTCGGAGATCTAGTAAAAAAACTGCCATCTGGCAGTCAAAAATGATCATTAGACATATGCACATCAAATTATCAGATATTTTATGGAGATTTTAATCATGGGTATCAATTTTTGAAGGCAGGTCTAGCTGTTCCGAAGATACGGGGCAGAAAGTGCCTAAAACGGTAACTCAGTTTTTAAGAGAACGGAGCGTCCGATTTTAATAATTCAAAAAACATTTTACTTGTATTGACAAGATGAGGAACTTGTTAAATTTTTGGGAAGGCAGATCCAGCGGTTATGGACTCTCAATGAAAATAAGTTAAAAAAATGACATTTGGCGGTCAAAAATGTTTATTGGACATATGCACATCAAATAATCACATATTTTATATAGATTTTAATAATGTGCACACATTATGTGTAATTTTTTTTGGGTTCCGCACCAAGATTTTTAATTGCGGTACATGAAGTTCTAGCAATTTGCCTTAAGGCACGATGCCATGCGCTTCACTATAGTGAATAATAACTATAGTTATGCTGGATTCTATTGTATTGCTAAAAACATAAGTTTAAAAACAGTTTGTTACAAAAAATGAGATTTGTTAAAGATTCACAAAAATTGAATAATAATCTAAAATTTTGGAAAATGTTTTTAAATTTATACAACATTCTGTAATTTTAGAAATATATAAATATTATATTTAGTAAGTCGATATACTAATTTCAATAGTTTCTTATATGAAAATGAAAGGAGCGTTGTAGCCGACGTGTTCGCTTCGATTACCTCCACCACTATTCTAAAAGCACTTTTACTGCGCCAATTCTTGATGTAGGGCACACTGTTGTTAACAATCGGCCAAGAAACTCATATTATTGTGCCAATACTCTTATTTTGGCTATAAATGGAAATCGTTGTTCCACAAAACTGACTTTACTTATGCATGCCCATTGGTATATATAGTTGTATTCTTCGTACATATGCACACACACTCACTATATATACATACATACATATATACATACATATTTACGTTATATATATATATATATATATATATACTAGCAAACC